GTTTGTACATGCTCCCATGCCTATTCATATTAACGTGTATTGAGCTAGTCTCTGATGCAATCATCGTTACAATAGCCTTCCACCAATAAGAGAGTGACACATACTCCATGTGCAGTGATCCTCGTGAGTACTACCATGTGAACCAAGGCTCTTTCCTTCCTTGGTTTTGCTTGTCTTTCTAATGCAAGATGTTTGTTATGCTTTTGTTCTTTAACTTTCATTTAAACATTATTAACTCACTTCTTGTTTGTACTAGAGTGTTTTTACTGTTAACTCGACTTGCTACTACTGTACATAAAGAAAATGTTTTATGGGTCATTTTTGACCATCATTTCCATGACCTACCAATCCTACCTCCCAAGGTCCTAATCTTCTACTTTTGTAGTCTTAGTGACTTTTGGGAGTGCTGTGATGGAGAGCAATGTTATTGCCACCAGGCACTAAGTTATTGGTTCTATACTAACTCTTAACCCCTGGCAGCCTCATGATACTTTTTCCTAATATTTTTTCTATGGCATATAGTTAAGATTCCTCTACTTTTCTAGAGATTCAGTCCCTTGAAGCTCTCTCCCTTTCTCTAACTTTGTCTCTTGCTCATCCTCAACCTGCTTGTTTTCACCTTTTCTTACTTAACTCCTTTTCTGTATGTTTACACTTCACCACCTCTTGGCCATCTGCAGCATCCCAGTTGACTTGGTATATTTGTTTGTGGGATTTGTTATTTGCTTGATTGGGATGCTTTACATTTGGCTGTTTGCTCTTTCAGTCTTATTTTGGGGACCTCCGTCTAGCACCCTTTCTTCACAACAAATCTTTATGAGGCATTCCTACACTTTAGAAACCTTAGCTGAAGTTTCTTGTAAGCAGCTTTCTCTGATTACTTTGGTTTCTTGGATTTCTTTATAATTCTCGGGAGTCTTACAGGACCAGCCCTTCTCCTGTCACTCATCTTTATGGACATCCCCTTTCTTGGAAGGCTGGCTGTCATAAATCACAGAAGTGACTTGCTTTTGGAGCTGCCCCTTAGCTCCAGTGCAGTGGGAACTCAACTCTCTCTCTTTGAGAACCTGTGGACTCCCTTCGTAGATGATATATATGTCACAAAGGTGCTTTCTTATGGACTTACCCTATTTTTACTCACTAAACCTCTTTTTTCTTCAATTATCTTCCCTCTCCACTCCCAGATCCTGTGTGCCTTCAGACATCTAGAGTAAGCTGTGTCTTTCCTACAAGCCTTGGAACATGTCCTCAAACCCTCATGGAATTTTTTACTCCTGTAGTTTTATCATTCCCAAGATTACATGAGGTTGGTGCCTGTTCATATATCTCTTGACCTTGAATCAACTTCTTGTTTCTCAGTTCAAGATTAACAGTTTTCTCACTCTGAGTTGGATGCTCTCTCCTGGGTTGAAGTTGACCAAAGTTGATGTTTCATATGCTTTTCTCCACATACTGCTTTGTCCGCCCATCTATCTGTCACTTTCTCTGGTTTGTCCACAGTGATCAGAATTTTCAGGAAGGAGCCGGGTTAGCCAAAGACCCATACATTTTCAATTTGGAAATAAGAGCATTTTCAGTGGACACATTTTGAGGTCCCATTTCTATTACTATATAGATGACTGGCTCCTATTTGCTCTGTCCCATGAAGCTTCCATGGCAGCAACCTCCTTTCTCCTTTAGGAGATGTGTGTTTGTTATTTCATCTCGTCTCACAGTATTTATATCTTTACCACTTAATCGTCTTCCCGCCTTCTGTATTCTCAACATCAATAAATAATTAACAAAACTTTTGTCTGCTTTTAACTCATATTATAACAAAAACTAAACAATAATAAAATATTCACTCCAAAAATAAATTAATCAATAATATCTAAACTAAACAGTCTTTTACAACATGACACACTAAAACCTCATGAGAATGAGCTTCACGACGATTTTCCCGCTAGCAAGACATATTAAATAGAACAGAACCTAACAAAGCCTTAACTAACAAACGGAAGTTTGACGTGAAACAGAATGTTCTGGCTAATATGAAAACGTAACGAATATTGTCCGAGAAAACATAATGTATTACACAGAAAACCGTCTTTTCTCTATCATTAAAATCTCACTAGGATTGCCTGTACAATTTAGGTGTATTACATGGAACAATAATTTTTGTCTGCGTTTAAAAGCTTACTTGTATCGTCTGGAAAATACGATATTACACAGAATAATACCTTTTCGTTGCAGTTAAATCTTCACAAGGACTCCGTACGAAACCAGATGCATTACACTGAACTTTTGCCTGACATCAACTCCTTTAAAGATATTTCTTTAAAAAAACATTAATTGCCTGGAGTAAAAAATCATATTACATGAAACACCATCTTTCAATTGCCATCGAAAACTTTCTAAGATTTTCCAAGAAATAAGACATACAAAAAAGAACATTTGCCCGTGTCATTAAAACACCATGAGAGTTTTCCAAAGAAACAAGACGTACTGGGCGAAACAGCACTTTTTGTTTGTCATTAAATTCCCACTAGGAATTCGTGGAGAAAGAAAACATATTACATTGAAGAAAACTTTTTGGGTGACATTAAAGTCACATAGACATTTTCTCAAGAAATAAGACCTATTGCTCGAAACAACACTCTTTAACTGATATTTAACGTGGGGAAAAAAAGACGTGGTACAAGGATCAGCATCATATGCCTGTTATCAATACACCTTCGAGTTTGTTTGTTGTTGTTGTTTTTTTTTTTTAGAGAAGCGTGAGTGTCACACCAATATCACCTTTTGCCTGTCTTTGAAACCATTGGGACTGCCTGTAGAAATAAGACACATTACAAAGTTACTATTTCATGCCTGACATTAAAGTGTCACAACTATCCCAAGAAATAAGATGTATTACTTGGAATAGTACCTTTAGGCTGGCATTAAAGCCTCTTGATAGTTTTCTCAATAAATAAGTCCTGTTACAACTAACAGTACCTTTCAGCTGACATTAAAACAGAGAACTTTCCAAAAAGATATATATATATGTATATATGTAGAACATCACGTAAATGCTTATACTAAAACCTAATAAGGCTTTTTCTAACAAACAATAAGTATTACAGAATTTTTGATCTGACACTATAACCCCGTGAAGCTTGTCTTGGGAAACAATGTGTATCACACTGAGCTGTACCCTTTGTTATTAAAATGTATAAGCATTTTTATTTTTACAATAAAAAAGATGTATTGCAAAATAAAACCACCCTTTTTCTGACATTAAAACCTCAGAAGGATCACGTGAGGGCAAAGGGCGTGTTACACAGACGATCGCTTTTCTATTATTATTAAAACATCACGAGGATATCTTTGAGAAGCAAGGCATATTATACGTAATATCACCTCTCATGCTTCATTGATTCTCACGAGGTTTTTTTTTTTTTCAAAGGAACAAGATATATTAAATGAAACGCCACCTTTGTATCTTACGTTAAACCTCATAAGTATTTTCTAAAGAAAAAAGACGTATTACATGAAAAATTTCTTTTATATTTTAAAATCTTGTGATAGTTGGTTGGGAAAATAAATAATTTCACAGAACGACAATTTTCACCTGTTATATAACTATTACGATGATTTTCCTGAAGAAAAACTATTACAGAGGTCAGACATTGTCTCACATTGAAACCACAAAAAATTAGCACAGAACAGCACTTTTTATCTGTTATTAAAATCTTATGAAGATTGTATGAAGAAGAAGAACACCATAGCTCCTTTTGATTGTCATTAAAGCATCATAAAAAGTTTTCTAGAGACATAAAACATCACACGAAACAGAACCTTCCATCTCTGATTAAATCCTCATGATAATTAGGTGGATAAACTTAATGTATTGCACAAAACAGCGTCTTTCGCCCGATATTAAAATCCCACGAGAAATTTCCTGAGAAAACTATCTTTTGGAAATGTCAAAGCCAGACAAAGATTTTGTTTCCAATAAACCAGACAAGTTACATGGGGCACCACCTTTAATTGTTATTAAAGCCTCGCGAGGACTGTCTGGAAAAACACACCAGACGTAATACAAAAACCAGCACCTTTTTCCTGTGATTAATTAACCTCACGTGAATTTCCTGGAAAACAAGATGCTTTATGTGTAACTGCATCTTTTGTTTGTCCGTAAACCATCACGAGTAGAAGCATGACGTATTAAACAAAACAGCACTCTTTGTCTGTCAATAAAACAAGCATTGCTCTTTTGATTTTAGTCAGTAATCGGGAACTATTTTACTCCAGGTTTTATAGCAATGATGTACAAATATACTTCACGTTTCCTGCTTTTTTCTTTCATTAACAATACACTATATTGATTAAAGTAGAACACACACAGCTTTCAAGTTATTTGAAAGTATTTAAGTTTTAATGCCGACCCTTGAAAAATAATTAGCTGTATCGTAAGGCTAGAAGATAAAAATACATTGACGTATACACTTATTTCAAACTTCCCTCCAGTAGCTCAGCGAAAAGCTTGGTGGTTTCTAAGATCCAAAGTTAGCATATTGCGATGGACACAAAGTAATTAGTCTAACAACAAATAAACAAACGTATTTTTAACTACAAGTATTTCTAATATTTACCTACTTTTTAGAGATTTCCATGTGTGTGTGTGTGCATATTTCAATTTTGATAAAAGATGGTAATAAATGTTAAGTCTTAACTTATATCTTTTTATATTTTAGATATAAGATTAACATTAATTTCTTCAATGTTATATTTAAAATCATACGGGGAATTAATCTGAATTAAGATATATATTTTACCACTATATTAATCAATTCACCTAAGAATCACTCTTAACAAAATAATGTTATGGAACCAACTCGTTTTAACAAGGACATTAATTTAATGTGTCTTACAGTTTACCTTTATTAATTGAATGGGGTTATATATTCATTTGTATTAAACTTCTTCCAACATAAACAAGAGTTGATTTAAAGTAACATATATATATATATTTTTAGATTGGAGGTTGGAATATTACTGGGAATTTTGACGTTAATCAGTGGAATTTCCAGAACACTCTGGAGCTGATTCACAATACGTACAATCGTGGAGGTCTTTTTTCGTGGGGTGTGGGAGAAGATGAGAGAAATTCTAGCCAAAATATCCTCCAGGTAGACCAAGGAGGCCTAAGTCTGCCTACCAGAGATTATTATTTGAACAAAACCCAAGATGACGAGGTATATTGTACATAAGAAACTGCAAGATAACTAAACAAGTTAGAATATACTAATAATATTAAACTATGGCAAGATCTAGAAAATATTCAGCACAAAATAAAGTCTCATAAAAAATCAGGCAATAGAACAAAAGATCCAAAACATTTTCTATAACAAATGTGATGCGTAAAGACACTAACCACCAAACAAAGGCGCCATAGAAATATCTAGATTCTAAGCATGCAACTTTGGTTCCTGATTGCTCTTCCTGTTTCTAGCTACCATACTCCATGTAATGTAATAGCATGAATTCTATAAAGATGGAATGCCACCTCGGTCAAATGCTCACTTACAGAATAGAATTGAATCACCAATCATTTACGTTCAGATTACAAAACTGATTATTAAATGCTGCGTAAAAATGAATTGAGGGGTGGATTAACATTATATTTGCAGTGGATTTTGCGTTGTTATATTTAAAATATTGTGAACTAGTTGGAGTACCCGTCCCCTGGACGGAAGTTTTGTAAATTTATGATTAATGAAAGGTTATCTTAGGACATGAAAAGTTGCTATTCTTACATGATCCCCCCAGTGACACAGCGGTATGTCTACGGACTTCCAACGCTAGAAACCGAGCACAGATAGCCCATTTGTGCTTAATAACAAACAAACAAATCCCTTATATGTAGTTACAAAAAAGCAAAAACGCTCATAAAAACTGCAAAACGCAAAATGTGAAACCGCAAATTTGTATGTATATCCCCATGGACGCAATGAACCTCAATACCAAATTTGGTGAAGATCCATTCACACCCTACGAAGTAGTTACGTGGACATACAACAGACAATACTATTATATTTATATAGATTCAAATTATCCGTTAATTATTGCATGTATTCCAAATAGTACGTTTTCTAAGCTGTAATTTCTCATAACACATTGCCTCTTTTTAAAGGTGTTGACGGCGTACTTAAGCTATATGACAATAGTCGGTGTGCTTTTAGGGGGTGAGGAAAATGACACCCGACGTCAGTTTTCAGAGGTCATTGAATTTGAAACAAAGCTAGCGAATGTAAGTAAGAAAACATTTATCCATCTACATCTTTCTATATCAGTTTATCCAATCTATTTTTGTTACTGTTTATCTACCTTTTTTGTTAATTTGTATTATTAATAATGTATGCTAGATTACTATACCAGCTGACCAGCGGAAAGATGAAGAGAAACTCTACCACAAGATGACGATTGGTCAGCTGCAGAAAATCGCTCCAGTGGTCGACTGGGTTCAGTACTTAAACCATGGCTTCAAAAAGATTGGGAGGAAGATCGATAACTCTGAGAACATTGTGGTTTACGCCCCAGACTTTCTCGAAAACATGTCAAGTTTAATCACTCAATACTTATCTACTCCCGAAGGCAAAACGTAAGCTGCTGTTAATTGAAAATAAATATAATGTTATGTATTACTGTAATAGCTTTTACCATCAACATCAAATCATAAATTGATAACATGAGTAATAATGAAAGATTCTTAGCGATTATATTTCTAATTTCAAAACAACGCACAGTTTACCTGTATGTCCCCCCCTACTGACCCCTCTTCTTCTTTAGGAAAAACTATATATTTTGTGTAATATTGTGTGTTTTTATGACCACCTCAGCTTTCCTTCAGTTTATTTTTTATATGTAAATATAAGTCTTTTATTTTTATATATGTCTTTGCTATAATTTTGTATAGTTCTTTTTTTACTATTGAATTATTACTAATATACATACAAATAAACCTGTGTTAATTAGTAGAGCTTTTGGGTTTGTTGACTATACGGAATTACGACAGAAAACTTTGCTAATACTTTGGCCAATAGAATTTATGGCACGGATGGCTGTCTAAAGTTAAAGAGTTCGAAGAAGATCAAAGAATGTATCACCTTAGAAACAAGCTGAAGATGCTGCGTTGTTCTCAAGACACTCAGAGGGTAGAATGAAAGCGGAATACAAGATTATGGAAGTCTGCTGAAATATTTCTCAATAAACATAAGTCACGTTACTAGATAACCCATATTTATTGTGTACAATAGAAAGTATTAACAATTCACTGTACTTTATTCCCCTTATACATATATATTTATATAAGTCAATGTATCTAATGCTATTAAATACATTAATTGTTCATAGGCACTTAAAATCAGCACTTTAAATCAATAATGAACTTAATTCAAAATTTAAAAAAAACATCGTAATGAGACTAAAATTTAAAATTATTCTTCCATTACGAGTCCTCGATATCATCCTTAAGTTATAATGGATAACGTCTGTGGTCATAAAACCCGAATGCGTTGGGGATATTCTATCTATTAGACAAGATTCCGATGCCGATGTAAAACTCGCCAGCAACTAAGGAGAATTAGTTGAGGGTTGGAAGTTAAATGTTTGAACTCACAACGTCTCAACTCCTGCTGCCTTTCCCTATCTGCAGCCAGTTGTGGGAAGGCAGTTATGTTTAATATATACGTATACCCTTAAAGTAGGATTAAACCACCCTAAAATTCTACAATGAAAACTCCCAACCTCCACCCTTTTATTTAATATTATTAGATATAAAAAATATTCTTATATAAAAATAAACCACATTATATTTATACAAACTTCCAACCTCCACCATCTTGTTTTGTAATTAGTGAAATTAAACTGAAATAAAACCCTTACCTTAATAGTTTTAAGCCCACACACCCCCTTTATTTTGAAAAATTTGTTCAAGTATAAACGGGGGAGCTGAGACATCCCCAGCTACCTGAAGTTGGTCTTTCCTTCCCGGTATACTGAACAAAACTTAGATATGTTAAAGTTAGTTACTTAGATCAAGGATAACCTTCAGTAACTAAGAATTTTAGGATGGTTTAATTCTACTTTAAGGTTATATGTAAATATTAAGTAACTGCAGACAGCGAAATGCTGTAGGGGTTGAGACGTTGTGGGTTCATGCACTCAACCCCCAACCCTTAACTGATTCTCCTTAGTTGTTGGCGAGTTTTACATCGGCGTCGGAATCTTGTCTGATAGGCGGAATATCCTCAACGCGTTTGGGTGCTATAACCACAGACATCATCCATTGTGACTTAAGGATGACAACTAGGACTGGTAATGAAAGAGTACGTTTGGTCTATTTGTAATATTTTTGTGTATATGTATATGTGTGTGTGCGTACTACTTTTGTTATTTTTTTATTTCCAAACACATTTGTTTAGCATAACGTGGATTAATGTCAGACATGATTGGGACCAAACACGCTTCTAATGATGACAACTCCTTTCGTTCATTAGCTTATCACACGTGATTCTTTAATACTTAAAGCTAGGTGCGTAATTTGTGGACACTATATATTTCAAAAATTCCGAATTCGCAAATCAAATATTGTGCTCCAGTTAATAGATTCATTGTACAAACCGGGACAGGCAAAGAAATATATAGCGACGAAATAGCTAAGGAATACAGTGTACATTTTCAAGTATAGAGTTTGATACTCTATCTTAATGCTCTAAGCACTACAACGTGATTATTGATAGATTTCAGAAAAAATAAATGTGAAAATTATACTTATGTAAACTATCTACAAATTTCTGACGTTGAACCTTCTGCAAATCCGATCTGCCTGGAGTACGTTGTGAAACCCCTTCGTCAAACTACTTTACCAAGATAAATCTAAGGCAACGTATATAATAAAAATATTACAAGTTAGTTTTGAATAACAAGACATGACAAACTAATTATAGCTGGTTTAGCACTTCATATGTGGTAAGGTTTACACGTGTACAGGTGAGCACTGCTGTATAATTAGATTCATGGTTTGTATAAGATAGATAATTACATGTTTGTGAAAATACGTTTTATTCTGCGTATCTTCATTCTAGAATCTTGAACAACTACCTAGGATGGTCCGTTGTACAAGGCTTGGTTTCCTGTTTGTCAAAGCCCTTTAGAGAGGCTTCTAAGATCTTGCGAAAAGCTTTGATTGGTTCTGAAGGCGGAGAAACACCCTGGAGATATTGTGTTGGGGATACGAATAACGTAATTGGATTTGCCTTGGGCGCCATGTTTGTGCGAGAAGTTTTCCGTGGAGAAAGCAAGACTATGGTGACTACCATAATATCTTTTATTTCTAGTTGTTGTTTTGTTTTTCTTTAATTGTACAAGTACTAGCGTTAATCATAGGAAGAGTAATTCAAAATTGCTTATTATGCAACTATGCGATTAAAAACCACTGAAAAAAAAATTAAATAGTAACAATGAAATTAGCAAAAAAATAATTATAAAATATTGGTATTTGTTTTAATTCTCCTCTATCCTATCACTTTCAAATTACGAAAAGCTGGCGCAGCTAGCCTTTGACTAGCATTGGGCGAAATTAAAAAATAAACTAACAAAAAACGATTTTAATTCTAATAGGCTAATATACCCCTGACGGCATGAAATGATAATAGGACTAACAATGAATACATTAATTCATCAAGTATACACTAGATGTATAATTGTTAGTCTACTATTCTACTGAAATTATATTTCCAGCTTTTTTTATATATTATTGATTATTGTTCTGTAACAGAAACAATAACAAAAAAGCTTCCAGCATTGGTACTTGATAAAAATGTGTTTAAAAGATGAGCTTATTAGCATAGGATTATAAAATGCTTTTATAATCATGTGTGTAGTGAAATTTAAGTTAGGGATATTAATTTATACTTAATCATAATATGCGTCATTGCGAAAATTCTGTGCATATTTCTATATCTATTAATATATATATAGCTAATATTTTAGCCGCGGCTGAGCGGTTAATACAACGGCTCTGGGTTTTTCAAGTACAAACTTTTAGCTTATAGCTCCGTCATCTCTTGACCGATTTGAGATCTAATTACAGTTTTGAACTCAGGCGGTCAAACCCTTTGGATTGGTATATTTGACCACACTTGAGGTGTCATAGATTAGTTTATTCTAATCCTGCCTAAAATAATTTCAATTTGAGGGTAAGCTCGTAGAGATCCTAATGAGTAATACAATCGAATCCGGTGTACCCGTGTACCACGCTTAGTATTGTGGCTCACAGAAATATAGCTAATAAAAAGGAAACAAAGGTATCATAGATTAATTTACTCTAGTCCTACCTAAAAGAGTTTCCAGTTCCGCAGCTATTGAGGATTCCCTCTTGTTTACTCTTGTAACTTCTTCTTTTACAAATGTTGACATTACGCAGATAACTCGTGCTATATGTATAGATATATCTAAATAAATCCGTCGATGTTTTGATGTTTTGTGTATTTTTAAGATACATCTTTCAAGGCGCTTTCTGTAAGATCTTACCGATGTTTTTATTGCGGCATTCTCTGTACACCTCACTTTTATATTCATATCATTCAAAATCAGTAGTTAGTTGTGCTACTTTCTAGATTTTTCTTTGCGTCACCTACCAAAAGTCTGCAATTAGACATCCAAACATTCAATCCTTTATCTTTACGAGAAACCACGGCATTGCCAGGTGGTTAGGGCGCTTGACTCGCAATCTGAGGGTCGCGGGTTCAAATCCCCGTCACACCAAACATGCTCGCCCTTTCAGCCGTTAGGGCGTTATAAGTGACGCTCAGTCCCACTATTCGTTTGTAAAAGAGTAGCTCAAGAGTTGGCGGTGGGTGGTAATGGCTGCCTTCCCTCTAGTCTGACACTGCTAAATTAGGAACGGCTAGCGCAGATAGCCCTCGTGTAGCTTTGCGCGAAAATTCAAAACAAAATTTACGAGAAACTAATTAAAATCCTTTCAAAAAGTAGATGACATTGTAGCAAACTTATTGTGAACTTACTTCAGTGAGTTGTGTGTTCGGTCTATTGGGTTTGTTTGTTTGGGTTTGTATAATGCGCTAAAGACAGATTAGCATCCAAAACGCAGTATAAATACCAGTTAATAATTAGTGTCAAGCAATTAATAAAAATAATAGTAACTAATTAATAATTAAGCTTAGGTGATCCTATGAACTACCAGCATGACAATTTTTGATATTTGATAAACACAACCTTGCTGTAATTTCTTAGTGTCTTTCTGTCTTTTTATCTCAAAAATGATGTCAACGATATTCCGGTTTTAAAATACATCTCAACTGTATACGGATGAGCTCTATAAACAAGCTTAGGCATTTGGTTTTTAACAGAGAGCTTGAGTTTTCAAAACAATGTCATACTATACATATATTTAACAAACTCCATAATATATTTTGATTTAACTGAGTTTTATTTATTTAGATAGATATACATTATGCTGTTTATCTTATCACTGGGAAAATACTTTTTCCTAAGAACTTTCTGATGCTATACTGGTTTTTAATGTTTGTATTTTTTTCTGAACAACATTGATATGAAACTCGCAAAGTTTAAATAAAGACCATTCCTGACAATGGTTTTTATTACAAACTTCACACTAGTCTCTAAAAAGCAATACGTTGGTGGTTACGCTAATGCTCTGTAGCGAAATCAGTAACTGTACTTAACATTAAAAAGAACTGCAAACGAACTTGTCCCCCAGTGGGTCAGCGGAAAGTTTATAGACTTACAGTACTAAAATCTGGTGTTCGATTCCCCATGGTTGTATAGCTTTGCACTGAAACAAACAAACAAAGCAAGTGAACTCTTAATATAAAAGAGGCTACTTATGAAAAGCAGAGGACATAACTCAATCAGGAAGATTCAGCTTTTGTTTCTGTTTTTTAAGGGCAAAGCTATACATTGTCCACAGAGTGGATGAAGTTAGATCAGCAGTAAACATGTTATTGAAGTTAAACTAAGTCTTTCTAGTCAAATATTATTCCAAGTAATCATAAGTTATCAAGGCATAATAAAATAGCTTGGAGCTTCAAGAACTTTCATCCAAATAATTTTATGAAATAAAGAGAAGAGCTTCAGCATACATTTGTTTGTTTGGTTTTACTAAGACTGCCACAGTCCCTAATTTTGAATTAGCAACCACAAAAAAAGGCGTGAGGACGGTAGCATTCACTGCCAACTCTTGGGCTTATCTTTACCATATAATAGTTGGATTGACCATGACATTATAAAGCCCACGCTTCTGAGCCTTCAACCACCAAACCTTTCAGCATATGCGTTCAATAGTCTTGGTGGTATTAAACCAGCTTAGATGGGTCACGGATTCGTTCTGTTTTTATCACGTTTGAAAATTTACAATCACGTGGGACTTTTTTCTAATAGACCATTTAACTTCATATTCAATAAATGTATGTATTCAAAGTCCGCTAATTCTGATTTATTTCAGGCAGAGAACATGATCAACGAGGTGAAGAAAGCTTTCAAAGACAATATGCCTCTTTTGGACTGGATGGACTCGGAAACAAGACAACTGGCTAAAGATAAGGTATTGTATTCGTGTTTCACCATTGTCAAGTGACATATGTTAAACACAGAAAGAACGTTTCGTTTCTCATTATTTATCTATTTTTATTTTTTTGCTACACTATTTGCCCCACATTTTATATTCAGTGAAAAATATATGTTACTGATTTACTTTAAGAAATTCTTTCTATGTAGCTAGGCGTTAAGTAATTCTAATGTAACATATGTTATTATAGGTCTAATTTTATAAGACAAATTCTGTATTTTGTTCATAGCTTATTTTACTAACAAAATTTATCGCTCTCTACGTTAAAAAGAACATAAACATTGACGAATTTGAGATGCAACATACCAATTAAATGAATAAATGAATAGCAACATGAAGAGAAAAAAAGTCGCATTATCGCGTGTATTTCGAGAGAGAAAAACTGAAAAAACATGTTTAATAAGATAAGAATGATTTTTGGAAATTCTATAAGGCTAAAAATGTAGCCGATGTTTATAAAGGATATTTATCTCAAGATCCACCACTTGTTCCGAAAAAATTCAAAAAAATATCATGTCAGCGTTAAGTGAACAAACGACCAACTTAGGAAAGAACTTGTACTTGAAAAAATTGAAACTGAAATTAAAGCTTTAGAAATACAAGCAAGTTTCTACTTAGCAAAAGTACAGAAAGACGATGAAAACATTTGCTGCAAATGTTTTAGCAAAAAGCGAACAAAACCAAGCTGAATACTTCACGAGAAAATGAAATTAAAATTGTATGGAAGAAGAACAAAAAAGTAAAATAGTATGGGATAAAAAACAAAACTTTTTAAAAAATAGTAAACGTATGAATTATGCCCAAGAATATAACCCCGAAATTTTGAACACTCAACATCCTTCTCGTCCGCGCCCTTTTAATTAAAGAACAAATATTACCCCGTGAAAAAGTAAAAAGACAAAGAAGTGCCACCGAGAAAATTATAGGAAACAGTCAGTCCAAAAATTGGCAACAACATTATAACAACCTTCACAACCATTTTAGTAAAAATCCTCAGAGAAATAGGTCCGAAAGGGGAAAACAAAAGAAACTTTGCAAATCTAATTATTTCAAACAAACGTGCGAAGTCAAGACAGGGACGATCGAACCAATCTATAGATAGCAAAAAATGTATCAGAAGTGGTAGAAAGCACCAAGTTCACAATCTTAATGTGTTAACTATCCATAAAGTTAGTCTAACAAGTAATGAAATATTTTACTAAGAAAGAGGTTACCGTACTGTCCCAGCAGCAATCATAGTTATATATATATATATGTATCTAATATATTTTATTTTATTTTTCTAATAAAATCATTTACTTCTTGTTCACTTACAAATAGAATAATAAATAAATGGTTTTATTACACGAATCAGGCTCAAAGAGTTTTATTCACGACAAGATCAAACTGATAACCAATATAATATCATTTTCAGAAGTATATCAAGTGTTATACCAACAACCGGTATCAACATTGAACTGAATACATTATGGAATCAGATAAAAACCTAAGTTTAATTTTAATACAATATAAACACTGTAATAACAAGTAATAAAAACATTTTGTAAATATAAAATGATGTAGGGATGGCAGTGGCAAAAAGAATGCAAACAAAAATATAGGGATAATACAGCTATACGTAGATCATCCCTATATAACTTTCAATATTAAAATATAATGTTACACTGTAAAATTCACTAGTACAAAATGGTTGCAAGGTCGGTCAATTAGACCGACCTCGTAGTGAGAGTCTGTAATAGTCTGATAATCAAGACTTGTTTTGACACAGCTTGGTTTTCCTTGTACGTAAGTCCTAGTCTCTTAGTTACATTACATTGATGTCTACCCTGACATGACCATGATACTAAGATAAACAAACTGCATACCAAAAGTCACGAATATATAACTTCCAACTGCAGTAATATTAAAGCCAAGTATGCATATTATAGTGTAGCATTAAATTTTAATATTGACAGTCATGTAAGAATGATTTATATATAGCTGTATCATTCTTATATTCTTGTTTGCATTCTTTTTACCACTGCCATCCATGCATCATTTTACGTTTACAAAGTGTCTTTTATCACTTGTTTTGTGACATGTTTCCCTGACTGAAAGTTAGAGTATTCTATGAAGGTGTTTAATAAAATTTAATGTTATGCGTATTGATTTTTGTACTCCTTCAATTCATATATAATATAGGGGTTGACTTCCTAAAGGCACCGATTGTATAGTGTAAAAAGCATTGAGTATTCTAAATGTTACAGTCATTTAATATTCATCTATTATTGGCTGGTAATTCCTGTTTCACCCTGTACTTAAGCTTTTTAATAGAACACCACATTTCTGTAAAAAAAGCTAACTTCAAGAGGTAATGATAACATCGTTTACACTAGAAATATGATTTTTTTTAGTCACTATTAATTATTATGGTTAAGCGATGACATCGTGCACTGCCTAGAAACACACAAAGTGGATTTAGGTTTACACTGACATTAGTGATAAAGTAGGTGTAGAATTATCTCGACTGAAACAAGAAGTTTGGTTGGTTGGTCACTTTCTGGTTTGGTATCTAAGCGATGGTTTCTTGCCTTGTTTTGGGGCTTGTTGGGTAGAGAAACAAATTAAGTGAGTGGCAATTACGTTTTAAAGTAAAACTCTCTGTCATTGTTGATTATTAGCTTGGATACTTGTATTATACCTATTGAGCACCTTGGCCATCCCTACATATAGAGTCTACCGACTCTATCTATGGTACCGGGAAGAATACTTAATATAATCTGCGTTCCAAAGATATAATCTTTAAAAAAAAGTTCATAAAGGAAACACAATACGTTTTACAGCACAATGAGTATGAAACATTAAGATACAACACAACTTATGTGAAAAGTGAGAACAAGTATTATTGTTG